TTCTTCTCAAGGTGAGAAAAGAAAATAATCTGAAACTGTTAATAAACCAAGGAAAAGCCAAAGAGTAAGAAAATAAAAGACTCTAGGCCTAGATTTCATTTCATCTCAATCTGTTGTATTTTTGTTGAATGTTGAAGATGATCCTAAAATTCTAAGCGAAGTAATGACTTCAAGAGATGCAGCATTTTGGAAAGAGGCTATAGATGATGAATTTGAATCATTAATATCTAATTAGAAATGGGTTTTAGTAGACTTGCCTCAAGGATCAAAAGCAATAGGTTGTAAGTGGGTGTTTTGAAGAAAATACAACACAGACGGGTCTATTCAAACATTTAAAGCCAGGCTAGTTGTCAAGGGTTTTAAGCAGAAAAAAGAAATAGACTATTTGGATACATATGCACTAGTAGCTAGGGTCACATCAATTAGAATATTCTTTGCATTCGCATCTTTATATAATTTGCATGTTCATCAAATGGATGTGAAAACAACATTTTTAAATGGTGATTTGGATGAAGAAGTCTACATGGAACAACCATAAAGGTTTGTTCTTCTTGGGAATGAAAAAAAAGTTCGTAAATTAGCAAAGTTGTTATATGGATTTAAGCAAGCACCAAAACAATGACATGAAAAGTTTGATTTTGTCATTTTATCATATGGATTTAAGACATAACAGTGCTGATAAATGCATATACTTTAAATTCACAAGTGATTATGGTGTTGTTATATGTTTATACGTCTATGACTTGCTAATTTTTGGTATAAATATGAAAGGTGTATCTGAAACTAAAGAGTATCTAATTCAAAATTCAAGATGAAGGACTTGAATAAAGTAGATACTATATATCTAGGGAATTAAAGTAAAGAATCATAATAGGGGTTATGCTTTGTGTCAGTCACATTATATACAAAAATTGCTTCTTTAAGCATCTACAAATAAAAGAAGCAAATACCCCTTATGACCCTAGTGAGACTTTACGTAATAATTCTGGCAAGTCTGTTGCACAGATTGAGTATGCTAGTGTAGTCGAATGTTTAATGTATGCTATGCATTGTACCAAGCCGGATATCGTATTCACAGTAAGCAAAACTTTCTAGATACACTAGTCATCCATCTAGGTACTGCTCATTGGAAAACAATAAATAGAATTTTTGGTTATCTTAAAAGAACAATTAACCTCAGTTTAACTTAATCTAAGTTTTCAGCAATACTTGAAGGATATTCAGATACAAGTTCGATAACAAGTACTAATGATATCAGGGTGGATTTTTACAATTGCTAAAGGAGCAATTTCTTGGGCTTCGAAGAAGCAAACATGTATAGAACATTCAATTATGGAGTTTGAATTTATAGCATTAGCGGCAGCAAGTAAAGAAGCGGAATGAATTATAAATTTGTTATTGGAAATAGAGTTGTGGTCACAACCAATGTCATCCATTTCTTTATATTGTGATAGTGAGGCTACTTTGTCTAGAGCATACAATAAGGTATACAATGGAAAGTCTAGACTTATTAGCTTGAGACATGAATATGTCAAGCAATTAATAACTGATGGGGTTATTAATATTATTTATGTTAAATCAAGTAATAACTTGGCGGATCCATTAATGAAAGCACTTTCAAGAGCTTTGGTAGTTAGTACATTTAGCGGAATGGAGCTAAAACCCTTTACTAAAAATTAGCCACCAATAATGATAACCCGACTTTGTCTAGAACATCACTAGTTTAAGAGTTTAATGGGTAGTAACAAGTTATTGATAAGTGGTTGTAAAAGCATTGAAAATTAATACATAGCTTATTCCAAGATGATTAGTGCAAAACTGCTACGTTAGGAGGATGAGTTTTATCTTAATGAAGTTATTTGTAGTTACGTCTATAGTAGTAGGGACATGGGAAGGAACCTCACCTACATGAACATAAGAAGTGATGCCGCTTCTACCAAGAGTTGGGTTTTCTCTTGTAAATGTTCATGAAACTAGGATGAAGCACAAGGCCATAATAGTGCTTAATTGGTTCAGAAATTTCTTTAAGGAAATGAGACATAGTCATGTATGTAGTGATTCTGGTTTTAACATAAAAATAGTTGGTTTAAACTTAGGTCACTATCGCATTCGTTATAACTTTGAATTACTTACACTAATTAAAGGTTTAATTCGAAAGACACATTTATTGTATGTATCATATTAAAGCAATGTGGCTTTTCCAACTTTGCTAAAAGACATGATCCATGTCTGATTAGTGCATAGTTTACTAACAGACATAACCTTTGGTAATTGATGCTTTGCATTAGACATGCGTATTGGGCATATTACTGTAATTCAGTTGTATCTCATGGTAAGAAGGCATACCCAAAACCAAAGGCCGTATCTCATGCCGAGAAGGCATATCCAAAATCAAATGATATGTCTAACAGATGCAATCTCTCTTATATATTGGTAAATTGGTAGAAGAGAAATTCATTCAGAAATTTGTTGTTTACACAATTTCCTTGCTCTCTATTCTCTCTCCATTACATTCATACAATTTCTTTCTAGTTATTTCTAAGGGAATATAATTCGGTTTTGCTAATTGAATATTCTATATTTTGTTGTATTGGGAAATGATTTGCCAAGAACTTTTTCGCAAACTCATTTGATTGGGGGCAAATAACATTTTAAGGAAACGATTCAAGTCGTACCTCAAAATCATCTTTCAATTTAGTCTCTATATTTCTACATTTACTCAACACCCGTCTACCAACGTAAGTGGACTGCTAACTTCTTGTTTGGCACCTAAGATTTGAGCAGGATGACAATCTCTCTACCCAGATAACTCTCTTCTGTCATATAACATGATCTTCAGTTGTAAAAAAAACCAGACAGATTTCAAAAAGCATGTTGGATGTATCGCGTCCTATTGGAAGTTCAAATAAAAACGTTATTTCAATTTTGTGTGCTGCTAGCTTTTTTTTTTTTTACTCATGCTTCCTACACTTACCAAAATTAAATGCTTCTTTTGAGCAAGCCGAAAATGTGGTTGACCGAAAATGTGGTTGCAACCACTGGAGTAATGCAGTGTGTGTGTGTGCAAAAGTCTAAAGCTACTGCATGTGCTTTTAAGGAGAAGGATTCTCTCCCTTTCTAATCTTTTTTCCTTTCCCTCTCCTCCTTTTTAAACGGTTACAGTTTGGTCACGTCAACATTTTATATTAATTTTTTTATAGAGACAGTAAGACAAAAAGTAATATGTGAAAGAAGGGGAGGGAAATGAGCAAGAATAAGATGAGAGAAAATCCTACTCTGTGTTTTTAAGGGGTGTCCCTTTTGAACTTCGTCATTTAGTTTGCATGTTATGTCTTGTTTTGTATTGTTTATTAAAAACCGCTCGTGTGGTTCTTTCTTTTCTGCACATACAAGTCAGTCTTCCCCGTAAGGCTTTAGGGGTCTAATCCCATTCTATCTACAAAGAATCAGTTTGTAAACTCCTTTAATATATCAAAGTATTGTCATCTTATAAGCTTGCTGCTTCCTTTCTCTTTTATCTTTTCTGTCCAGTTTCAAGTGAGACGTGTGATAGAGTACGTAAAATTATCGCCCACATATTTACTAAGTTAGTTGACTTTCAACACCAACACGTCCATTAGTATCCGCGTGACCAAAAATTATTAGAGTATGATTCTCTACCTTCTTAATCTTTTTATCTTTTTATGTTCTTTTATTTAAACGATCATGGTTAAGTTACGTTAATATTTTATATTAATTTTTTTATAGAGATAATAAGATAAAAAGTAATAGATGAAAAAAGAGAATGAAAAATGATGAGAATAAGAAAGTAGGGAATCCTTTTCAAAAATTATTATCCAAGCGGACAGCATCAGCAAGTCACGTCAGATTTGACAATAACTTTTTGCACTCTTTCAACAAGCAGGAAGTAACATTTTATATTAATTTTTTTATAAAAATAATAAGATAAAAAGTAATATATGAGAAAAAAGAATAAAAGAGGATGAGAATAAGAAAGTAGGGAATCCTTTTTAAAAATTATTATCCAAGCAGACAGCATCAACAAGTCACGTCAGATTTGACAAGAACTTTTTGCACTCTTTCAATGAGCAGGGAAGTAACTCAACTTAATTTGTCACTGTTAAAGTACGTAAAGTAAATGGCGTTCAAAAAAAAAAAGTACGTAGAGTAAATAATGACAATGAACTCTGGGGCTTAAGGATACCAAACCTGAGGAGTGCTGTTGAAACCGCCACAAAGGACAACAGGGGCATTACCCCATCTCTCCGAGAGGATTTTCGCCCTCGATATGAGAAGATGTATAAACCTTGTTCATCAGTGTCAGGGAACAGACATTTTGCTTTATGCACCAGGAAATGAACATGAATGTAAAAGATGGTGCCTGGCCTAATTTTACTTCCCCTCGGGTTGGGTTATAAACGACGTGGATGTTACCGATCAGTAACTTTCTTGATTTTGCTTTTTGCATCTCAACTGTCTCTGCTTGACGGGGTTGTACCACGGGCGACTAGTGTCAAACGAGTAGACGACGATGATGAGGAGAAGAAGGAGTCTTTGGGAGCGGTAGTGCAGAAAGAGCCTGTGGCCTTGCAGATAAAGGAGGAGGAGGGGCTGGCGGTGGCGGTAGTTGGTAAGGTTGTTGCGACGAACAAATGGCCCCCATAGAGCCAAGAGGAAGCATCGCACCGCATCGTAGAGGATGAGGTGGTGTTGCGCGGACGTGTGAGTGTCTTACGATTTAAAGGGATATTTGAATTGGATTTGCCTATCTTCTTAACTTCTTGACTTTTCGACTTCCAAATCCCTATTGCTTATGAAAACTGTGGCGCCACTGTAATTATCTTATGGGCTGGTTTTACAGGAAAATGAATTAAACACACTTAATTGGTTATTTTCTAGTTACATCTAATACACCTAATCACATCAACTCCCTTAAGTCAAGGGAAGATAGCTGGAAGAGAAAAAAGAGAAACCGGACAAAGGTTAGGTTACACATTACACTTCTATAAAACACCTCCTTTGAGTTCATGAGCAAATGCCCCATTTCTCTCACACAGAAAGCCAGAATGCTTCCTTCAGCAATATTCATCCTCCTACTCTTCCTTACCTTCCTTTGGTATCTCATCCACATCCTGACCACTGCTTTCCAGAGGCCAAAACACCGAAAGCAACTGCCAGGGCCTTGGGCACTACCAATAATAGGTAACTTTCATATGCTAGGCAACCACCCACACCACAGCCTCCAACACTTAGCCAAAAAATATGGCCCCATAATGTCCATTCGCCTCGGCTTGGTACCCACCATAGTGGTCTCATCTCCTCAAGCTGCAGAGTTGTTCCTTAAAACCCATGACACCGTCTTTTCTAGCCGCCCCAAACTCCAAGCCTCTGAGTACATATCGTATGGTGCAAAGGGTATTGCCTTTACTGAATATGGTCCATACTGGCGCCATGTTAGGAAGCTTTGCACAATGCAGCTTCTTTGTCCGTCAAAAATTGAGGATTTTGCTCCGTTAAGAAGGGAGGAGGTGGGGTTGTTGGTGCAGTCGCTAAAGAAAGCCGCGGAGGCAGGTGAGGTGGTGAATCTTAGTGAAAAGGTCGGTGAGCTTGTTGAGGACATAACATATAGAATGGTATTGGGGAGTAAAAGTGATGATATGTTTGATATCAAGACAATTATTAGGGAAGTCATGTCCGTGCTAGCTTTATTCAATATTGGCGATTATGTGCCTTTCCTCAGGCCACTGGATATTCAGGTACGCAACATGCTGTGCATAGTCGTCTCTGACGTAGTTTATGCAGCATTACACTATTTGATAATCATTTAATTTTGTGTTTTTAGTTATCCACATTTTTGTTCGATATATTTTATGTATACTCTTCCCATAAATCCCTCCCACCACCATTCTCCCCACATTATTTTTTCCCCTTCTCTATCTTAAAAAAACACCCTAAAACCCAAAATTATATGATTATCAAATAGGTCTTAAGATTACTTATCATGCATATATTAACCTTTTCTTCTTCTTAGGGATTGACCAAACGCAATAAGAGAATTAGCAAGATGGTCGACCAACTTTTTGAAAAGATAATATGGGAACATGAACAAGTTTCTAAGAGTGAGCAAGTACAAGGCCATCATCATCACAAGGACTTTGTTGACGTGCTGCTTTCATTAATACACCAGCCATTAAATCCCAACGATGAGCAAGGCTACAGGATTGAACGAACAGATGTGAAAGCCATCTTACTTGACATGATTACGGGTTCCTTTGACACTTCAGCTACCGCAATTGTTTGGAACCTTGCCGAACTGTTGAGGCACCCGAGGGTGATGAAACATCTCCAAGAAGAGCTCCAACGTGTGATCGGAACAGACCGAATGGTGGAAGAGAGCGATCTGCAAAAGTTGAGTTACTTGAATGCGGTGATCAAGGAGAGCTTTAGGCTACACCCAATTGCACCATTTTTAGTTCCTCGGGAATCCATGCAGGACGTTACGGTCGATGGATATTACATACCTAAGAAATCGAAAATTCTAATAAACACTTGCGCTATTGGAAGAGATCCTAACGTTTGGTCAGATAATGCGGGAAAATTTTACCCTGAAAGGTTTATAAATAGCAATGTTGATCTTCGGGGGCATGACTTCCAGCTTCTACCATTTGGATCTGGCAGAAGAGGTTGCCCTGGTATGCAATTAGGGTTAACCACAGTTCGGCTGGCTCTGGCAAACATTGTCCACTGCTTTAACTGGGACCTTCCAAGTGGCCTCCTACCTCAAGACTTGGACATGACTGAGACGTTCGGCTCGGTGCCGACAAAAGCCCAACACTTGTTCGCCATGCCGACCTACCGCCTGGAGACGAAATAGACGTTTATCCGTTTTCTATCATTATACTAAATGCCGTAAGAAATTATATCAGGTCGGGTGGCTTGAATAAATGTACGTGTCTTACATGTCATGCATGGTGAGACTTCTATTGTAACTATATCTTAATGTGCTGAGAACACGGCTTTCTATTATAGATTTGTAACCATAAATAAACACTTATTTCTAATCTAAATAACTTTAAGCTTTTATTTATAATAGAAAAATGAGGAATTCACGAAGAAAAGTGAGGGAAAATTCGTCAACATTATCCGACTAAACAATTATTTCAATTTTCCGACATTATCCGACTAAACAATTATCAGAGACTTTCACAATTAGATTAGTTACACATATATGTTGCTGACAGTTCAGAATCAAAATGTAGTGTCCACGAATTGTAATTTGAAGATGTTTTTATATTGGTACCATCAAATCCACCCAATTAAGCTATCAACATTATACTTGCGTACACTGCTACAACTCACCAGCATCCTCTTCAAAATTGATTCTCTGCATATACTAATTAAATGAAGTATCCATTTTTTACCCCAACTATTAACTAAAGTGGGGGCATTGCCCCAACTACGAGCTATAGTGGTGTTGGAGAACAATCCAGAAATAAATAAAAATAACAGAATTTGAAATACTAAATTCTTTATTAATGAAAAATACTTGCTATACATAATGAAATAACATAAATAATACAAGAATTAAATGATACTAAGTTGATTTAATCACAGATAGAGGCTAGCGCTTAAGCTATGTCATTCGAACAATATTTCCGTCCCACTCTTGTGCTTGTGGTTCTACAATGTATGCTCAACCAGGATACAACTATCTAATTCTATAACCTGCACTGGATTATAGCTAGAATTATGGAGAATTGTTTTGTGTGTTTACTCTCTGGAAATTTTGTACGGAAGAGAAGGAGGAAGAAAAGATGAAAATACTGGAAACTGAGACTATGAATATATAGGTTGTTTCACACCCCTTCAAATACCTGTTGAACGTATTTGAAAATGCACAATTCTTTCTAAGAGCTGTGTCTCTTAATCAAAACAATTTTTAATTAATATGTTAATTAAAAACTTAATCCGAAATTAAAATTAATGAACTCTGATTAATTTTGACTTCCAAGGACCCAAGTGCCCGAATTGATTAATTAATATTAATTGTATTAGGATATATTATACAAGCCTAATCCACACAACCATAAGGCCCAAACCTTCAATCCATTTCCAAATGGTCCAAATCCTAATTAATAGAATAAAGGACTAGACCTATATAAAGGCCATTGGGAACTAAATGTTCCCCTATGTGGGACACTAAAAGTCTCACAACTCTAACAATACCCCACATTTTGAGACGACTATGTGGTCCTAGAGAAACTAAGGTATGAGAGTAAACAATAGATGTGACATACATACGGAGATGTATCTTTTGGACTTGAACCTACCTTAGTATATGCTTATCGGATTTACTAGATGACGCAATGAATATAACATCTTGAATTGTTCATCTCCTCAGTAAACCAAGACAATAAACAAAACATATGCCACACCAACACATCACAAATTCATACGTTTGCGTTCTTTTTGGTCCTGAACAAACCCTTGGATTCATGAGAGCTTTAGAGAATGTAGCCATGTAATTCTCATAAATGCGACCCTACATTTACTCTCATATAGGTGATATTAATTAAGAATAGGTTGCTACTATTCCACTTGATTCATAAGTATCAATATCATTAAACTAATGTATCCTACACCCATCAACAGTCACCACACTTCTTCCATCAGAGGAATGGGTATGCAAGTGTGTTTCTTCTTTGAATCTACCTAAACCAGTTTGCCTCTTGAACCTAGACAATGGGATCTCCAATCAACTAGGTTAGGTTTCTGTTTGTCAATTTCATTTTACTCTATTGGCTTTAAACACATTCCCCTCGATGTATGCCTAACTTGCTCTCTAGACAAACCTTTAGTAAGCGGATCCGCAATATTATCTTTTGACTTAACGTAGTCAATAGAAATTACACCACTAGAGAGCCATTGCTTTATTGTTTTATGCCTTCGTCTAATTTGTCTAGACTTCCCATTGTATACACTATTTTTAGCTCCATATTGTGCAGCTAAACTATCATAGTGTATACATATTGCCATTACAGGTTTAGGTCATATGGGAACATCTTCCAAAAAATCTCTTAGCCACTCAGCTTATTCTCCAACCTTATCAATAGCTATAAATTATGATTCCATCGTTAATCAGGCTATGCATGTTTCTTTGGAAGATTTCCAAGATATTGCTGCTCCTCCCAAAGTAAATACATATCTACTTGTGGATTTCGTATCAGTACTATCGGATATCCAATTCGCATCAGTAAATCCTTCAAGCACAGAAAGATACTTTGTATAATGTAATCCATAATTCATTGTATGATTTAAGTATCTCAACACTCGAATTAACGTTTTCCAATGATCATGCCCATGATTGCATGTATATCTACTCAGTCTACTCACTAAGTATGCTATATCAGGCCTTTTACAGTTCATAAGGTACATAACGCTTCCAATAACTTGTGAATATTCACGTTGAGATATAGCATCACCACTATTTTTCTTTAGTTTCCTATTGGCATCAAATGGAGTAATTGCATCTTTACTTTCCAAATGACTATACTTTCTAGGTGTAGCTTATATATAATGGGATTGTTTAGAGTATAACCTTCTTGGTTTCTTTTTATTTTTATACCAAGAATCACATAAGTTAGATCAAGATCTTTCATATCGAAACTTGATTTCAATATCTTCTTGGTCCAATTTATTATCTCTTTATTAGTTCCCATTATAAGTATATCATCTACATATAAACACAACATAACGCAAGCATTATTTTGAGTTTTTGTGTAGACACACTTATCACACTCGTTTATCTCATGTGTGATCATAATATGGTCAAATTTCTCATGCCATTGCTTTGGAGCTTGTTTAAGCCCATATAGCAATTTCACAAGTTTACAAACTTTGTGTTCTTGATGTTTAACCGCAAACCCCTTGGGTTGTTCCATATATATTTCCTCATCTAAGTCTCCAGCTAAGAATGTAGTTTTTACATCCATTTGATGTAATTCCGTGTTATAAAGTGCAGCTATAGCAATAAGGTCACAAAATCAGGCTCAAAGTCTTTTCAAATTTTTGTCCTTTTACTCCTTCTAGGTTCAAGTTCTTCTTCTTGAACTCTAGATGAAGATGAACCATCATTATGTTCTCTAGGTTCATTTTCTTTGGAATGAAAAACTAAGAATCTATAAGCTAAACGATTAGATGCAAAACCAATAAAAATACAATGTATAGTTTTAGGCCCTTATTTAGTTCTCTTTGGCAATGGTACTTGTACTTTTACCAGGCAAACCACACTTTAAGCAATTTAAATGTTGGGGTTCTTCATTTCCATAATTCATATGGTGATTCCTTTCTCATTTGAGGTGGAATTCGATTCAAAATTTTGTTTGTAGTAAGTAAGTAAAGCTTCACCCCACAAATTGTGTGGAAGCCCAGAGCTATTTAACATGAAATTGATCATGTCTTTAAAAGTCCTATTTTTCCGTTCGGCAACACCGTTTTGTTGTGGTGTATAGGGGGTTGTTGTTTGATGAATTATGCTATGTGTGGCACAAAATTCAACAAAAGCATGAGACTCATATTCTCCTCCCCTATCGGACCTTAAGACTTTAATCTTCTTGTTAAGTTGATTCTTAACTTTTGCCTTATATGTCTTAAACATATCCAAGGTCTCATATTTACTATGAAGTAAATAAACATAACAATACTTACTGAAGTCATCTATAACTGTTACATAATAACTCTTTCCACCACAAGTTGTGACACGCCCCGATCCCGAAATTCCCCGAATACCAGGGTAGGTACGTGCTGGCAGACACCCGAAGGTGACGAAAGCCATTTGTTGAATGCAATGCTGAGAACAAGAAATAAATAAGACTTATAAATTTAAAATATAATGAATATGCATTTTAGGAACATGTTTAGAGCACACGTCTAATCTAGAATACTAAAAGAATTTATATAAAAATTGAATGAATAAAAGAATGGGTCCTACACCGAGAAGACTCGAAGATGCTACTGCGTAAGTGCCTTGACACCTGGATTGTATGCTTCGATTCTAGTCCTGAAGGGGGCGCAAAACAAACATGAATGGACCAAGTTGATATAGATATAATAAAACAGTTATCAACATACTAACCCCTAGGTTTTATGAAAACTCATATAACATGATCAAAATAGGTTTTCCAAAACCTTGCATGCAGTGCAATGTCTCAAAACATATCTCATATATTTAGTAATCGCTAGTGAATGTCTAATATCCCTCCAGGCCCTATGCCAGCTCCCCGTCTCTGTGCCAATTGCCAGAGGAAAATCGCCCCTAGGTCCCATGCCAGCTCCCCGTCCATGTGCTAATAGCCAGAGGAAAACCATCTTCGGGCCTTATGCCAACACCGTACCCTTGCTTATGACGGAATTTATCCCTCGTCCCGCAACGGAATAGGGACCACTAGGTAAGTACAAAACCATTGAACATATATATAATTGAAAAGCATCTTCATAGTATAAAGTCACCCATCATCTATACTATAAAGAAGTGTTCAAAACATGTTCTAAATATTATATCGTCATCCATCAAATATTCTATAAAGAACACGGGTTATAGGAAAAATAGTAATAATTCAAAATAGCCTCAATAAGCATGTTATCTCAAACAACGTTTCATAAAACATATCATTAAATCATGTTTTTCATGTATGCACTTCTACTATTAAAACATGCATTTTAGAAAGGGTCCACTCACAGATACTTAGCCGCTGAAAAGCCACGCAAACTAGCAAACACGGAATCGTCACAAATAATTGCCCCTAACATATAAAATGTCCAATTAATAAAACTCTATTATAACAATTGAATTTGGGAAAACGGATGTTAGAAACAGATTCAGGACATCAAATTATCCTTAGATGGGTCCTGCTAAAATTTCTTAAAAGTCAACACAAAGAATATTCCCCATAAAGGGTATGAGCCGGTTAGGGTTTAAGGTTTGAAATGTTAAAGGGTTTAGGCTTAGACTTTTAGGTGGGTTGGGCTTAGGGGGTTTAGAGTCACGGGCCTAAGGCCTGACTCCCAAATGGCCTAAGGGTCTTAAGC